CCCCCTTTAGATCTCTGGCAAACAAGGAGGAAATGCCACCAAAATCACAGGATATATTGTTGTTTATGAGAGTAAAACACACAGTTAAGGATTTGCAGGTAAATTAATTTATTCCCATTTTATAGAGGAGATAAATATTATTTTAGTCATATAAAATATATGGTTCCCGCCTCATATCTCTGGCAAACAAGGATCAAATGCTACCAAAATCACAGGATATATTGTTGTTTATGAGAGTAATTCACAGAGTTAAGGATTTTCAGGTAAATTAATTTGTTCCCATTTTATAGAAGAGGTTAATATTATTTTAGTATTCTAAAATACATGGTTCCCTCCTCATATCTCTGGCAAAAAAGGAGCAAATGCCACCAAAATCACAGGATATATTGTTGTTTATGAGAGTAATTCACAGAGTTAAGGATTTTCAGGTAAATTAATTTGTTCCCATTTTATAGAGGAGATAAATATTATTTTAGTCATATAAAATATATGGTTCCCCCTTTAGATCTCTGGCAAACAAGGAGGAAATGCCACCAAAATCACAGGATATATTGTTGTTTATGAGAGTAAAACACACAGTTAAGGATTTGTAGGTAAATTAATTTGTTCCCATTTTATAGAGGAGATAAATTATTTTAGTATTCTAAAATACATGGTTCCCTCCTCATATCTCTGGCAAAAAAGGAGCAAATGCTACCAAAATCGCAGGATATATTGATGTTTATGAGAGTTAAGGATTTGTAGGTAAATTAATTTGTTCCCATTTTATAGAGGAGATAAATATTATTTTAGTCATATAAATATATGGTTCCCTCCTCATATCTCTGGCAATCATTGATCAAATGCCACCAAAATCGCAGGATATATTGTTGTTTATGAGAGTAGAAACGCACAGTTAAGGATTTGTAGGTAAATTAATTTGTTCCCATTTTATAGAGGAGATAAATATTATTTTAGTCATATAAAATATATGGTTCCCCTTTCATATCTCTGGCAAACAAGTTGCAAATGCTACCAAAATCACAGGATATATTGTTGTTTATGAGAGTAAAACACACAGTTAAGGATTTGTAGGTAAATTAATTTGTTCCCATTTTATAGAGGGGGAACAGATTATTTTAGTCATTAAATATATGGTTCCCTCCTCGTATCTCTGGCAAAAAAGGAGCAAATCCCACCAAAATCACAGGATATATTGTTGTTTATGAGAGTAATACACAGAGTTAAGGATTTGAAGGTAAATTAATTTGTTCCCATTTTATAGAGGAGATAAATATTATTTTAGTATTCTAAAATATATGGTTCCCTCCTCATATCTCTGGCAAAAAAGGAGCAAATGCCACCAAAATCACAGGATATATTGTTGTTTATGAGAGTAAAACACACAGTTAAGGATTTGTAGGTAAATTAATTTGTTCCCATTTTATAGAGGAGATAAATATTATTTTAGTATTCTAAAATATATGGTTCCCTCCTCATATCTCTGGCAAAAAAGGAGCAAATGCTACCAAATCGCAGGATATATTGATGTTTATGAGAGTTAAGGATTTGTAGGTAAATTAATTTGTTCCCATTTTATAGAGGAGATAAATATTATTTTAGTATTCTAAAATATATGGTTCCCTCCTCATATCTCTGGCAATCATTGATCAAATGCCACCAAAATCGCAGGATATATTGTTGTTTATGAGAGTAAAACGCACAGTTAAGGATTTGTAGGTAAATTAATTTGTTCCCATTTTATAGAGGAGATAAATATTATTTTAGTCATATAAAATATATGGTTCCCCTTTCATATCTCTGGCAAACAAGTTGCAAATGCTACCAAAATCACAGGATATATTGTTGTTTATGAGAGTAAAACACACAGTTAAGGATTTGCAGGTAAATTAATTTGTTCCCATTTTATAGAGGGGGAACAGATTATTTTAGTCATTAAAATATATGGTTCCCTCCTCGTATCTCTGGCAAAAAAGGAGCAAATCCCACCAAAATCACAGGATATATTGTTGTTTATGAGAGTAAAACACACAGTTAAGGATTTGCAGGTAAATTAATTTGTTCCCATTTTATAGAGGAGATAAATATTATTTTAGTCAAATAAAATATATGGTTCCCCCTTCATATCTCTGGCAAACAAGAATCAAATGCTACCAAAATCACAGGATATATTGTTGTTTATGAGAGTAAAACGCACAGTTAAGGATTTGCAGTTAAATTAATTTGTTCCCATTTTATAGAGGAGATAAATATTATTTTAGTATTCTAAAATATATGTTCCCTCCTCGTATCTCTGGCAAAAAAGAAGCAAATCCCACCAAGATCACAGGATATATTGTTGTTTATGAGAGTAATTCACACAGTTAAGGATTTGCAGGTAAATTAATTTGTTCCCATTTTATAGAGAGGGAACAGATTATTTCAGGTGGCTAAAATATATGGTTCCCGCCTCATATCTGTGGCAAATTTGGAACAAAAGTGACCAAAATCACAGGATAAATTGTTGTTTATGAGAGTAAAACACACAGTCAAGGATTTGTAGGTAAATTAAATTGGTCCCACTTCATAGCGGGGGAACAGATTATTTTAGTAATATATGGTACCCGCCTCATCTTTCTGAGTGTGCTTTAGATTTGCTTTCGCCCCGCGACCTCAACCCCCCAAATAAGCATAAGAACGACAGATGGATGGACGGAACTTTTCTCAAAAAGCGGGTAATAGTTTTCCGCTTCGCTCCTCTGAAAATTTTGAGAGACTCAGTAGACCCAAAAGATGTCAAAAGGAAAAATAGAAAGTCTGTAGGATTTCTGTAAACATATTTTAATACGTATGTGATTATTTTATCTAAAAGTCCTTCCTTCTACCTTCCCTGTGGTCTTGACTTCTCCACGTTGGATCAGAAAGTCGATAACCAAGCTTCGACGACACCGGCTCCTCGCATAAATCACGACCTCTCAGCGGTCTGAAAGGGCCTCGTAGCGAGCAGCAGATTTCCCCGGGACCCGCCCTGGCCGGGTCACATTATTCACGCAGCCAGGTCACATGGCGAAGGCCGGACCGTCGCTCCCTCCTCCACACCCTCAGGCTCCATTCCATTGTTCTCAAGAGCGAGAGATCCTCATTCGCGAGAAGCCCTGAGTGTGGCGTGGGCCAGATGTGTGGATAAAATAGGCATAGCTTTTGTTCTTTTACCAGCAAGCTTCTAATGAACTAGAATCAGTGGAAACTGTTCTCTGGGACTCGAGTCAATCAGAAACGCTTTACTTTTCTGTGAGGGCAAGTCTGACGTTTGTAACATGATGTTTTCGCATTGCTTCCTTCAAAGAATCTGCATTCCAAGCATAACATCTGTTTTTTTTTTTCCAACGACGCCCAGTCTGAAAGTGGGAGTCACCTTCTTCAGACCGTACAGTTTCCGTCTGTACAGACGGAGACGAGGGTTTTGTCTGAGGTCCACCTTAGAATTGACATCAGCAGAAAAGAAGTGTAGAGAAAATCAATCATGTTTTTTTTTTTTTTTGTAATTTTTTATTTGTTTTCTATTAAACAGACTTTAGAGTGTTTTAGATTAAAGTTTTATGTGGGTGAAATTAGAGGGAAGAGGATCAAAAGACTTTGCAAACAAGAGTTTGCTAAGCGGAGATGTTTCACGCTGAAATATTCACACAGCGAATGTTTAAAATCGACCTTTTTCAGCTTCTCGTCATGTTTTTGCGTTATCTCCTCACCAGAAGACCCCCGCAGCGTTTCCTCGAGTGTTTTCTTCACGTTTCGTTCCCGCGGAACGAAACTTGTTTGAAAAGAATAGTTTATACTCATTAAGTTCCATCTAGCACTGAGACTGTGTCCTTAAGAAATATAAAGAGAAGTACAAGTTTTGATTTATAGAGGTATCAAGTCTGCTCCTTCAGACTAGCCAGCGGCGATTAGCAAACACGCGGAACATCAGCTGAGGCGTGAAATTACAAAGTCAAAAGAAAGACACGCAGCATTATCTGAAGTTTGCTAGAAAATCCGTCGACGGCAGTGCAGCCGCTCCAAACGGAGCTCATTTTGCCGCTTTTTTTGCCCCGTCTGCAGAAGCGTCACGAAACACGCGACGACTCTCTCGTCCGGCTCTATTCTCTCGCGTCCCGTGGAAACGTCCTTGACAAATTCGCCGAATTTCTACCGGCCGGGTTTCCGGAACGCCGCCCGGGGGAGCGAGAACTCCAGCGAAACCATTCGGGTCCCGGTGGAAGCGAGGGAAGCGAAGGCAGTAAACAAGCCTTAGTCACGGAGCCGAGGAAGCGCTTGCTACCAGCACACGAGAACGGATGGATCAAGAGTTCAATGGCGGTGGTATTCTTAGAAACAGGAAGTCTGTAATGCATCCACAGCTCCTATTTCCATCGTCAGACGGCGTCGCGATGCAAAACAACAAGATGCACGGCACTTCAAATTCCCAAACTCTGCAGTTTTGGGCTTCCTCCCCTAATAAAATAGGAAATACGTTCCATCAAACTTTATAGGAGACTGACCCATCTGTTGTGCAGCTGCAAGGGGAAGCAAGCAAAAAGCAGAGAGGCACAAAACATATATGTATCCTGGACAAATAATACAAAAGGAAAAAAAAAAAAGAGCACGACGGTTTCGTAACGGTCGTTTCCAAGAATCCTTTCTGGAATGTAAAGGCAGGAAAGGAATGTAAAGACACAAGGTCACCAGCGAAACCGGCCTCTCCGCGGATCGACGTCGACGACACGACGACAAACAGAGAAGCGTTCCCGCGGGACTTCCTAATCGGACCCGCTTGCAGTCGCATGCCTTCTGGACATGGAACAGGCGGCGACCCGCCCCGCTGTGTCTGGAAACAATATTCATCGGAGCGAGAAATATTTTCTGAGGTCAGACGAGGAAATTCCTCCGTCATGTGGGATATGTGGGAAAGGCAACAAAGCCATTTGTTGCATAGGAAAGAAAAGGAAGGGGACGGGAGACCGCCAAAGAAAAGCAACGTGTTTTTAAATCAACAAGTCTTTATTTACAGTATTATTAGAAAATCTCTCGGCAGTTTAAATACCGTTATGTAAAAACGGTCACTTTAACAACGAGCTGGATTAAATACGGAAGTAGGCTATAACAATATTTGTGAGAAAAAACAAAACAAAATGCAGTTTCACTGGAAGACACGGACAAAGAGTCAAAACACAAACGATGGGTTTCCTCCGTTTCAGACATCCAAGGAAGCGGGCGCTCCCTTTTCCGGAAAACCGTTCCAGGACTAAGAGAAATTCGTCGTGTCGAGAGATTCGGAACGGGAACCAAAACCAATGAGCTCGGAGGCCACTCTAAAACATCGAATACCAGCGTCTTGGGCGAGACGCAGAAAAATCTCACGGATCATGGCTGGAAACAGCGTAGGTCAGAGGTCGCAGCGCCGGGCGTCGGTGGCTTCCCGTCGGCGTTTCGACGGTTCAAACTCGTTTGTCCAGCATTGAATGAAGGTACAATTAAAGCGATTCAAGTGGACGAAACGCAAGGGGCGAAACATCCCAAAAAAAATAAAAGATCCGTAACAACTTCAGTGTATAGAAACGCCACGTGGATCGACATGAGAAAATCCATTCGGTTGTCATTTTTCCGTTTTCCCTCGATGTTTGCAACACTGAGAGTCGACGCTCCAAAGTCCAGTCTGATGACTCCAAACTTTTTCGTTTGTTTTCTTATTTTTTTTATTTTTGTTTTTCTCTTTGCTTGTCCACTCATGAAAGATTCAGCAGAACCTCCTTTCTTACATTTAAGGGCTTTCCGACCTGAATATGTCAGAGTAGCTCTTGCCGTTCACGTGCTCGGTGTGGCTCTCGACACTGTAGCAGCGGTGGACTTCGGTGAGCGACGACGCCACATAGTACGCCGAGCGGAAGAACTCGGGGTTGGCGAAGGTGCCGGCCGACTGCATCCGCAGTAGATTCCACTGTCTCCTGAGAACAGTTTGGACCTGCAGGGAGGAAAAGGGACGCACAGTTCAGTCAACTGAAACCGTAACACATTTGTGACCAGTAAAAAGACATGTTCCGTGTCAAAGCAGAGATCTTTCTTCCCCCATATCCTTTGGGTCATCTGGGTCATCATTCAGATTTGGCCAGATGCCTATATTTATGAGTGTAAGTCACTCAATGAAGCAATAAAATTAGAAAAGATTTATAATTTGTAGACAAATTTACTAAGTGATTGGTGTTGGGTTTAGTCTAGCAGAATTAAAGGGCAGAAAAAACAAAAAAAGATGGCAAAAAGGTGGTAGTAGAAAGAAAATGTTTGTTTGTTTAAATGTGTTTTAAAACAGTGCAAGTTGGGGTTTTTTGGGTTGTTTTCCCTTTTCTCACGCTATCTCAAAACCTTACCGCTTGGTGGCGCTAGTGCACAGCGACCCTTTTTCCAATCTCCAATGAAACTCACGAAGAAGAAAGATGCTTCCGCTGCTGTTGCTGCTGCTAAGCCGCTTAGCGTGAGAAACTGCATTTTCATACGGAAAAAGTGATGAATATGAACTTATAACAAAACCTGCGTCGATACTTTTGCTCTTTATTAGCCAACCTATTGGAAATTTGATTTTTGGAGACTTTTACAGATGACTGTTGGAGCTACCTCGGTAGCTAGCCTCGCTAGCTCGCCTCGTTAAACCTCGTTAGCTTCCCTCGCCAGCTAGCTTGGCTAGCCTTGTTATTGGTTCCCTCAAATTTCATGTCGTTCTGCTTTCAACTGAAGGTAATGTATGAAATAAAGGATGTGTTTACGTTATCATCATACCGCTTTGTTTTCAGCTTGTTATTTTCTCTTGTGGCCCACAGGTTGTGACTCGGAGCCACCATACTGTTGTCCCCATCGTGTAGCATTGAGGACGGGTTCTTTTGCTTAAGTTTTAATTAGCATCTATATTAGCACATTGTTGTTGAATCTAAGTATTTATCTGAACGATTTAATTTCAAGCTTTTATAGAGATTTGTGTGAGATCTCATGTTTCTCTTATTGTTTGTTTAGAAAAGGTTTTGCAATCTACAGAAATGGGAGTGAAATTGCTGCAAAAGATTATAGCAAATATGAGTAAGTTTCTGAACGATGTCAGATATATTTGCAGAAACCCAGTTTATAGTAGAGTTTGTAACCATAAAGTGTGTTTTCATTTTCTAGGCAATTTCACTGTTTCACGGCTGCCTGCGTGAGAGATCCAGAAAAGTCAGTTTCACAGAGTCGACTTTCAACCGACCAAAGCAACCAGAACCATGAAACGGCGACGTCTCCCCGGCCCCGATTTTCACATCAGCAAACGGTAAGAAACGTTTTTTTTTTTGTTTACCATTTCCAGAAAACCAAACACAAACATTTCCTAACGGACGTCTGGCCCCGGGGGCAGTCGTATTTGTACCAAAATAAGCATGTCGTGTCATCCAAAATGTTCCTGCACCGGCCATTGTTTCCTTGAAACATCAGGCTAAGCCAATAAGGTGTTAGTGGCCTTTTCTTCCCGTTATGGAAATGGCAATTGTGGGGTGGGGGGAGGGGGGAGAAACATACTAAATATACTAAAAAGCCCACAGAACCACGCTGACTCATGCGTTTCCAATCGCTGGTAGGTGCACGGCAGGAGAAAGAAGAAGAATTCGATACGGAGGAGGAATCACGGCAGTAGAAGAACGAAGAGACGAGGTAAGAAGCAGCCAAAATGTTTTGTGTATGAAGTATGTAGGAGCTAGGGCAGTGTGTGTGTGTGTGACAGAGAGAGAGCTGGCACGCTTTCACAAAGACACTGGAATGACACGGAAGTGAAAGCGGCTCGAAACAGAAAATATTTCAGCCGAACTCAAAATCTGCGTAATAACAGCGAGCTCCTTAAGGTGTTTGAATTTGTACAGTATTTGGTTGGGTTTAATTAGATTTGAATTAATTGTAGCGCATAAACAGAAAAAAAAATCAAAGCATTAAATGAAGAGTGGGAGCGAAGGCAGCTGCTCACCTCCCCGTTGAAGAAGCAGAATATCGTCGACACCAAGAGACCCTAAACATCAATAGAAACATTAGATGAAAAAACCCTAAAACAACGTAGCGCGCGGCGTCGGCGCCGACCTGGTAATGCATGAGGACGTTCATGACGTAAAGGTAGATCTCTGAGATCCAGTGGTCGTGGGGCTTGTAGGCCAGCAGGACGTACTGGATGCCCAGCAGGGGGATGAGGATGAGGGTGGCCCTCACCGCCCTCATGTACAGGCTGGACTCTGCCCGATGCGTGACGCGCAGTTTGGTGACGATGACTCGAACGATGTTGAGAAGGAAGAAGAAATTCACCTGGCAATAAGAAAACGGGGACACGGCATTAGAAATGCGTCGAGAACGTATTTTTGTGTATTTTTGCCATGTTAGGAGTATCACAGAAAAAAAGTTTTTTGTGGTTTTTAGGAATTTATAACTGTTTGTACAGAAAACTCTAAAAATAAGTTATTGTAACTTTGTGTATTACAGTAATCATGACATAGTTACCCTTTTAAGAAATGTGTAGAAAAAAAACCTTTTGGTTTTGACATATTGCATTTTAAAGGTTGTTACACATCAGAAAGAAAAATGTAAAACTCAGATGTAACGGAGGGAAAAAAAAAATCTGTTTTCTCGAATCCACATTTGGCTTATCCAATCAAAAGTCTCACCACGAGCGCCGCGCAGATGGGAGCGTGAATGACGTACAGCAGGGACGTCGTCGAACTCACCCAGCATCTGCAGGCGCACAGAGCAGACGTTAAGAAAACGTCAAACAGAAACAAAAAAGAAAACAAAAAAATATTTTACACATCCCCTGGCCCTCTCCCCCAGACGGGTCACAACTCACTCGTCGTCGTGGTAGCAGATGCGCGCGACCGAATACATAACAGCTGGCACGAGGGGGAAACCTGCGGAACGTTTGACCTTGAGCGAGGCGCTTTTTTATCAGCGCGAAGCAAAGGCGCGGTCTACTCACCCCATCCGAGAAGATAATACCACACGAGATGCTGTTTCTCCGCGAACACCGCCACGACAATCAGAGTGTGCAGATAAATGCCTTCGCACAGCATCCAGAAGTAGTTGCAGCTCATGATGTACATTTGGAGGAAGGCGAGAATCTTGCAGCTGCCCTGTTAAGAAAGAGACCCAGAAAGGCGATTACAGGCGGACGAACGAAGGCGTCGGGGTCGGACGGCGAGGGAGAAATCCATCCCACCTGGCTGCCGAGCGAATTCTCCTTATTGACGCAGAACCACGTCACGGTTATCACCGAGTTCAAGACAAAGGAAAGGAAAAGATTTTTATGAAGAGTTATCCTCTCGCAGCTCAAAGTTCTGAGGAAACGAGAAAGGAGAATTCAGGGGCAGTTCATCACGAGCGAAGGGAGAGTCGACTCTGGAACGAAGGCGACTCACTTGAAATAGAAGAAGACGGCCAAGGAAAGGAGGAGGGACACGAGCGACAGTCCGTGACCGATCACGATCAAGTAGAAGTGGGTCATGGCCGTGGGCTAAAAGAAGACAAATCAGATGAGCGTAGCCGCGTCGCGTTCACCGACTCGGCGTCCGCGTTTCTTACCGTCCAGTCCGTCCGGTTGGGTTTGCAGCCGGTGTAGTCCGTCCACGTTCTGTTGCTGTCGGGGTGTCGCGCCCACTCCCCGGTCTCCGTGCAGACCTTTACCGCCACGGCTGCGACGAAAAAAGTCACACAACCGATGTAAGAAAAAGCAAATGTTTGTAAAAAACAAAAAAAAAAGAGTTTAACAACCAAGACTTCAAATACTACGTACAGTCTGGATAACGAGAAGGCCTCAGACCATTCGGTATTGTTTATTAGGGTTTTTGGGGAGGCTCAAGAAATATTTTCAATCTTAATCCAGGATGGTGTGCAGCTTGTATGAAGTTTATTATGATTTTTTTGTATTGCTTTCTGTCGATCGGAAAACGCGTGTCACCTCGTGTGTCAAAATCGTCAAAGTAGTCTGGGCAGTTTTGCTCGGTGGGTCCAGGTTCGGCGTCTTCCCAGCACAGCCATCCGTCCCACGTGGCGTTGCAGTGATTTATGTCGGTCCCTGATGGGGGGGATAAAAAAAAAAAAACGAAAGCATAGTTGAAAGGTTTCCATATTTGGAAAGCGGTCCCTTACAGAAGAGCCTTTTTAAAGCGTTTCCACGGCTCACCGTTCCCGTGAATTTTACGACGGGATCCTCTCGCGATCCTTTGGAAGCACCGGAACTGGGACGCGGCGATCCGCTGGCGCATCCACCGGACTCTCACGTGAGTCCCGTTTCCTTCGTCGTCGGCGTCGGTCGTCGCCTCGACCGGCGGCTAAGACGAAAGGAACGGACAGATTAAACGCGACCCAACATTTTCACTTTGAACTTTGTAGTTCTGTGACTGTTGGAAAAAAAAAAAGTAAGTAAGTCGAAGTAGCGATTCCCTGAACGGATATTATTAGAATTGTTTATCAAATAGCGTTTGGGAACCACAAAGCAATGTTTACGTGCAGGAAGCAGATGTGGATCTCTTCTACTAAAAACCATACTAATACCTCGCAGAAGGAGAGGAGCGCCAGCAGCAAGGCAACGCGGCCGGGATCCATCCGCGCGCCGATCCTGTGAGGAACGAGAAAAAAGAAACATCTTTCACCGATCCGAGCGGAAACGACGTCAAAACGTCCACACTTTTGCAAATCGGTTTTCCCCGGAGTTTGCCAATCAAAGTCGTTTCCGATCAGCCGCCGGGTCGGTCCATCCGCGTTTGTTTATTTGTTCCCAAAACAGAATCTTGTCCGGGTCTCCAAATCACAGTAGATGAAACGTATCTTCCTGAGAAATCACCTAAAACACAGCAGCAGAGAGTGCGGAGCGGCGTTTGCCGCGGACTCTTTTGGTTCCGGATGTCAAGGTCACGGATTCGACCTCCGCTTCCTCCGGTCCCCTCGGCTTCCTTCCCGCGCGGAGCATTGCGCCCGTTCAGCAAGTTTAAGCGGACGTTTCGTCCAAACACGGAGCTCGTGAAAAGAAAACAGTCCAACGAGAGAGAGGGCTTCATATCGTCAGGGTTCGAACACGTGTTTAACGTCACGCGTGAAGGAAAAGCGAATTCAGTATTCCTTTGTGTTATCCGGGTGGAGACCTGCTGTCTTTTCTCACACGCACAAGTGAAGTGAGAAAAGTAATGTGGAAAATGCGATTGGGAACAACAGTGATGTGTTCTTAAATTTGCATCATTCCTGGATCTGATGAAAATGGTGAGAAAAAGTGTATATTTCATAAGAAATGAGCAGGTTATTAAATGGAAGGAATCTCCAAAAATAGCAGAAAATAATAAATTAGTAAAAATTCCACCTTGTGAGAAATGTATAATAATTCATAACAAGGCAAAAAACAAGAATAAAAGTACACCAAATGTGTAGAGTAACATTTAAAGCAGCATTTTCTCAGGATCGTTTGCAAGTCGTTTAACAGGGAAATCAGGTGAAAGAGTGGAAAGATTGAACTCAGGGGAGCTGACAAAGTTCTCCTCCAAATCCAATTCCACTCCAAAACTCTGAAGCGGCTCCCTTTGACAATCGCTCATCTCGTACGGTGAGGAGAGTGACAAAACTGGCCAGCTTAGCAGAAAACATCCGGAACAGTAAAACTCTCATCAGACAATCGAGCGGAGCCGAGAGAAAAGAATAGAAATGATTGTTTTTTTTTTGGTCAAAGAATCTTGTTACCTTTGCAGAAGAGAAAGGAAACAGGCCGGCGCAGAGTAAAGAGCGATCCTCGAGCCTAAAGGGAAACGGTCGGTCACGGCGAGAGACGCGCGCGGAGCAGCGAGCGTTCACTGAACGGAGCCGAGTCGCTCCGCACTCACTGAAGCAGCGTGACATCAGAGGGCCGTCTCAGGAGGCGGGACCTTGACCGTCTCTGTTTAGGTTTCAGTTTGACTTTTGAATGGACTGTTTTTGTTTTCAACTTTATTTGTATTTATTTGTAACAAAACAAATAGAGTGAAGTCCTAAGACAGGACAGAATCCCCTCCGAGTGAAGACACATTGGGAAGCACCAATGTGTTGTCCGAGCGCCACATAGATTTCTTTGTGTGTCGAGAACAGGCGCGCACCTGTGCAGCTTCGAGGGAACCTGTGTTTATGTGGGTTGTCTCCAAATCAGGGAGACCAAAGTGAAAATGTTTGTTTATTTTTTCAAATTATATCCTTATTGTTTCCCAAGAAAGTATTATGTCTCCAAATTAACTTCAACAACTTCAACAATAAGATGCACAAGTAAACCATTGCCTCATAACAGTAACATCAACAATGTAACTGCACTTTCCTGTGAAAGGTTTTAAAGTGATTATAAAGAAAGCAAGAGTAAAAAAAGAAACTGAGGAAAAAAAAAAAGATGTATAAATTCACTACAATATATGGCTATCGTTGAAGAGCGGATTGTCAAGAACGTTTAGCAGGACCACAGGTCTGGTCTTTAAAGATAAAATCAGATCTAAAGTTTGCCTAAATCTGCCACCAGTGATCAAATTGTTCAGTCCTGTGATTGAGACCTTTTCCATTTTATATATATTTAATGTTATGTCAATCCAGTCATTTAAAGTAGGTTTATTGTGCGATAGCCATTATTTAATAATGTTTTTCTTACTTGCTGTGAATAATATATTCATCAAATGTTTGTTTGTTTTTGTTGTTTCTTGAGGAATTATTTCAAAATACATGAAGTTGAACTTCAAGGAAATGTCTTGCTTAAAAATATCTTGTAAGGGATTATTAATCTTTTTCCAATATTCTTTTTGAATTGGGTAGTCCCAGAAGACGTGATGATGGTTTGCGGTTTGATTTCTGCATTTTCTCCAGCACACAGGAGGATTTCCATCATAGTGGCATTTCTTGGCCGGTGTAATAAATAATCTTACCAGATTCTTCCATCCAAATTCTTGCCAAATTCTATGTCCATTGACGTCTCCACATTGTTATCGTTAAATTGCCGTCTCTTTCCCATCTTGCTTTGGATATGTCAAGTTGAAATGTTATTTTTAAATCTTACAAGATGTAAAAATCTGGTAAATTATAGATAAGCGAGATCATTTTCACTTTAATTTTTGATTTATAGGCATTAATAAAGATTTCCATTAAGTTTATATTCTTGTCAGGAATTGGTAGAAGTTTGAAGTGAGCAAAATGTCTTATTTGTAAATATTGATAAAAGTTCTGTTTATTCAAAGAATATTTTATCGTAGCTGTTTGAAAGTCATTAATTTCATTGAAAGTCATTGTTTGTTAATGTGCATAGAGCAGCGAGAAAATGACTGCCAAGTCATTTTCCAGTGCATTTTCTTTAACAGTAGTTTTCCACGCTGTAAGGGTTGTTTGTAGTTTTGTAGATTTGCATCCTCTAGAATTGAGCCTTATACGTTGGGTCGCAACAGTATATCAGTGTTCTGGCTTGTGCTGCTCAATAATAATCTCCAAGGGAAGGTAACCCCCAACCTCCCATTTTCTTTTCCAGTTGTAAAACTTTGTATTCAATTCTCGGTCTTTTGCCTTGCTAAATATACCTTGCTAAATATACCTTGACAATAATTTTTCCCATCCATTAAAACCTCTTTGGTTTATTTCAATGGGCAAAGTTTGGAATAAATACAAGAGCGTGGGCAGTACGTCGATCTTAATCGAATTAATTCTTGAGGTGAGAATAAGAAAAGGAGTAAAATTCCATCTCGTAATATATAGTTTAATTCTTTTTTGTATGGGAACATAATTATATTTGAATAGTTTTTTGATGTTCCTTAATTTCCTGAGTTTTGTTTATCTTAATTTTGTATCCTGATAATTGACCAAATTGTTTTAAGAATTGCATGAAGAATTCACATAAAGTAATATATCATCAGGATAACAAGCCAACACTGTGAAAAAAAAAAAAACTGTCATTTTGACGGTAAAATACTTGCAGCTGTGTTTTCCAGAATTTAACGTTTAAAATTACAGTCTGACAATTTGTACAATTGCTGATTGTAAAATGTAAGATTTAAATGGTGCTTGATTTAACCTTTTACTGTACAACTGTTTATGTTTACCATTGAAATTGATCAAGTTTTATCCTCAAATTTCCATTAAAACAATCTTAAAAATTCAGTTAGAGCCATGAAATAGTTTTTTTCTGTAAAATGAACAGTCTAAATTATCAAACATATCATTGAATTTCTGTATAATTACAGGGTTTTCTTTGTATTTAAAAAAGTAATTAACCGGCAGCTGTAGTTGCCCGAATTCCACCGTTAAAATGACAGTAATATATTATGATAGATGAGTATTGATGTTGCTGTTTTTTATCCTTTTAATGTAAAAATTACTATTATTATTTTAAAAAATGACATTTTTTTCTACAAGATGCGGTTCATGCCATGAAATTTCAAAACATTTGATTCTAAATTTACGTTTTAACATGCTAACATTTCCCTAAATTATTTTCTTAATAAATGTTTTGTCTTTATTTTTCAAAGGGAAAAAACTGTGAAAATGTAGAATCTTTATCCTTTTCTTTAACGGTAAACAAGCACGAAAAAGAAAAAAAAACTTTTTGGCTAAAAATTAACATTGAAACATTAAAGAAATGTGTAGTTTGTGGAAAATGTGAAATGAAGAAGTGCAAATTGACTTGGTAAAATTATCAAATTGATTATAGCAGCTAAATAATGTGTTACCAGTTTTCTCTAATGGTAAAAACATGGGACAGTATAAGTAAATTTCACACAAAATATCCATTATTTTTTCCACTTTACCAAAAAGTTTTTTTGCCGTACAAACTTCCGATTACAAAGAACGTGTTACACGCGTTGTAAAAAGGAACATGCAAAAGTTTGAACAGATATAACACAACATGATCACTTGAACCCCGGTGCAGTGTGTTTCAAATGAATATTCCATATTATGTCACATGCACAGAAATAAGAACTTTGTAACAAATGTGCTGGGGACCACTTTTGAAAACGGTTGATGTTTCAGGTTTTTTCACATATTTTGCATAAAAATTGTATTGAGAAGAAAAATATAAAAAAAAAAGCTAATTTTTTAAGGTGAAACTAAAACCAATAAAATGCTGTTTTCAACATACCGCAAGCTAACAACCTCACAGTACGGTCTAAGTCCATACTTTAGGTCAGCGACGAGGGCGAGGACTCTCGGGTCGACCGCAAAGATCTTCCTCCTCTGGCTCTTCAACTTTTGTTCCTCTTTCCGGACGAATTGAATAGAAACACCTCGAAGAAAAGAAATGCTATTGCATTTGATGTTTTGTATACAAATGACTTTATAGAAAGATATCACGAGATCCAGCTTTGTGGTGGCTGGATTCAGTGGCAGAGCCAGAGGAATATTCAGTGCCAGGCTTTTGTGCCTATCCTGCTTCACAAACAGACCGAAGAAGTCTTTTGTCTCCATGGCCATAAAAAATATACAATTGTAACACCGCTCAGCAACAGCAAAGAAATGATCAAACATTTTCACAGTTTCTACTGGCATTATTTCTATCATGAATCTAGAAAAAAATGTAGCAGTTTTTTGACCCTCCATTTCAAGTGTCTTTTGTATTTCTTTTATTTGGGTTACTGGTAACATTCGGACATATATTGTGCAAACTTTATCTTGTCATGGTTTTTTATGATCATTTTAGCCTAGGCCTTAATGAGTATTGCTTATAATCCCTTCTTGGCATTTGGTTCCAGCTTTTACCAATGTTACCCTTGTGATTTGAAAATATCGATGGATTGTATGTCAGGTTAAACCTATGCAGGTGTTTTGTCAGCTTGGAATACCATTGAAATTGTCTTTTTATTATTCTTCTTGGACTTCTTATCCGCGAGGACATTATTTCCTAGGAATGGGACGGATTCACAAATAAGAATCAGATAAGAATACGCCGCCCCGCCCCCTCCTCCCGAGTCGTACCTCGTCCCCCTCCATCAGATGCGTCTCCCGTAAAAATACTTTATGTAATATTAAAATATTAAAATCTTATACTCAAGCGGAAGGTCCAGCTCAGCCATCTCTGTCAAAGTTCCCAGGAACTCAGCATGGAACAAGAACAAGGGCTTTCAGAATCATCCTTCACATCTGAAGCAGCGTTTTTCAACTGGAAAAGAGCCTCGTTTAAGGATGCCGGGTTAAAAATTCATTCAAAATCAGAGCAGCAACGTATACCTGGATTGAGTACAAAAGGAACAGGAAGTTAAGATGCCTTTATTGTCAGATGACTCTGACAATGAAGGCAAATTTCTCAGCCATTTGGAGTCAAATTGCAAAGCATGACCTCTTTGTGCAGAGAAGGTTAGATGCACATGGCAATGTCACCAAATCACCAAAGGTTTTTCTGAGGAGAGAAACGTTTGTTGTTTTCCTGGAGCCTTATAAAGAGGTTTTTCATGAGCTGTTTAAACTTTGTAAAATTTCAGTTGTGATCCCAGTCAGTACTGTGTCCTGTGAGCGAAGTGTTTGTTTAGATGACAGGTGAAGTCATTTTGGTCTTTAAGGAGGGCACATACTCTCCTTTAGCTTCTTTCCACCAAAATCGGAGAACGACGCTCTCTGGAGAGGTATTTGTAAGGCGTGACTATGTTTATCCACGTGGGCAGTATGTGGGTTTTCTTATTTGTTTATGCTTTTCAGTGAGTGTTTTTTTGCGTACAGAGCAGGCGCAATGACGTATGTAGCTGTTTTGACGTGTGATTTTCTAGGGAAGGAGAATCAATGCGAAGAGAAGAAGCGAAAAAGGCGGCTCAAAGTTTGCCATAGTGTGCGATAGAGGCTTCACGCGAGGGACTAAATGAGAATGTGAGCAAGGCGTGGCCAAACGTTAATGAAATGTCACCGAGGTGTTTAAGCAAACACAAATCAAAGTAAGCAGAAGGTTCCACATCAAAGAGTAAGAATGTAGCGAATCAAAGTAAATGAAAACCAAGGCATAGAAAGAGGGTTTTTTGCATCAATGTCCAAAGGGGAAAGCAAGTCCGGTCTTTTACGGCGGGTCGCTCCTCTGGGCCCAAAAAGGGCAGACGCGAAGCGAAGTGCGTGGGCCTCAGCAAACGGATGAGTAAAGGAAAGAAATGCCAACAAACAGAATGTGTCGGCGGTGAACGTATTGCAAACAAGCATATCGTTAGTAAAGTCGACAACGTTTTTGTCAGAAACTATTGAGAAGGCGGGCGACGTGGGACGGTTTCCGAAGCAGAGCAACGAAAGCGGACCTTCTTCAAGTTGCCACAGGGAAGATGAGGCCGATTTCTCGAATCGGCGATTGAAAGTTGGTGTAATAACGCGGTGTCATAACGGTGTCAAGAACGGTGTAATAAAGCGGTGTCAATGAAAGCGGTAGTAGTAGCAGGAGCAGCATTTTTGTCAAGGGTGCAAAGAAAGAAGCGACGGGATAGATGTTTTTAAGAATTAAAAAGAGGAATAACTTGATTTAGCTCGTTAATTAATTTTTTGTCCCGAATTCCTGTGTCTTAGTAAGTAAAGAGCAATCATACGACGTCAGACTTCAGATAATCAGAGTTTTATCCAGAGAAATTCAATCCAAGAAGAACTTTACAATAAGCATCTCACCTAGAGCAAAAGTCCAAGACATTACAAACAGAGACAAAGAACTAAGTAAAAAAAAAGACAAAACAGAAGATGCATCCTCTGGGAAACTCTCACTCAGCACAAAGAGATTCCAACTTCTGCTGTGAAACAAACCCTTTTTTATAGACTGCGTATTCTCCTCATTTAAATATATGCATTAGGAGGTGTGTTCTTTTCCTTTGTGTGGGCTGTCTTAATGTTAATTTTCTTACCTCCTGCTAAAGAGCCCCAAAAGCAGATATACGGCAAACCCTTCTCGTACCAGCTGCAGTATTATCTCTGCCTCAAAATGTTTCCACAAGAAAGTAGTTTGTATTTTTAACCAAGCTTGCACACAATGTAATGCTAAATAATGACTATAAGTTTGGATCTAAGAAGTAACTAATGAAAAACATGCTTAAAGAAATATAGTTTATTCTAATATAGATAAAATTATCTATAAAAAGTTTTAAGATCCTAGTGAACTTTTGAACCATGCTCAGGAATTTATTAATTGCCTGGCAGACAGGCTCCCCATCTAAAGAGATCCAAGGCGTCTAGGCCTGTTTTCTGTCGACTCCTCTGCGTTCAGAGAGTCACCAGCTGTCCCAGTTTGGATCTGTTTCTAAGTTTATCTGAACCTAAAAGTTAACTTCTCTCCTATTGTGCTACTTTAAAATTATTATTCCAACAATGTGTAAGCTGCAGCAGCTTGAAATGGTTTTGCAGAATAGAATGGAATGATGATTATCCTAATAAGTTTTTGTGTGATAAATGGAAATCAGTAGTGTAGTGATGATCTCATTTCCAGCAGATATGTTTGTGAAAAGAGTTGTTTCTAGGGAGAAGTGTGGTGCAGTCCTGATGGTATTTCATCTCTCCCTTTTGATGCAATGTTAGTTTTCGCATGAGAAGTCATGATTGAAGAAGAAGAAGAAGAAGAAGAAGAAGAAGAATGTTCTCCAGAATATGAAAGTAGGAGCTTTGGGGAAGTACATGGTTTATGTCCTGAAGGTTTTGATTCTATGTAGACTAGACCTTGAAAGTATTAGGAAATGTCACATTTGTATCAGTGGCGGAGCCAGTGGGGTGGCACTTGCCACCCCACTGGAAATGGTAATGTTGAAATAAAATACATTTGAGATAGGCAAATATTTGCCAGGAAAAGTGTAATTTCCGACGGTCCCTGAAGGCAGCTCGATGGTTCAACAGACATGTGGTTCCTGCTTGTTGAAAAACACATAAACGGCTTTGCAGGTATTTCCAACATTTTACCGCTCAGCGGTAACCGCCGTTACCTTCCTAGTGAGAGGCGGCTCTTGTCATACATTTCTAAAAAGAAAAGAAACGGTTGCGCACCGCGGCTGGGTGCCTCGTTTATTCTATGAAGCATGCTAGTGCTGGTAGATGGTGTTTTAGAACGAATTTTTGAACATATGTTTTAGTGACATGCTGCTCTCTAATGTTTTATATGTCCCAGCTCTTGCTTGAAATGTGTGGTAAGAATCTGTGCAAAACCATGAATTTTTGTAATGACTGAAATATAAGTAGGCTATGTCATATGAAAGCTTTGAATTATAACCCAACTAGTGATATCAATTAATTGGACTGAATGTATTTTGAATGGAGTATTATTTGAGCTAGCTACAGAAAACTAAAAAGTCTAGTTGAAGTAGTAGTTAAAAGAGTGTTTTCTGTGGTATTTACACAGAGTGTAAATACCAGGCTGTCTTATTTTGTGTCGAGCCCAAATGAAGAGAAAAGGGAAGATCTCCCAGTTCCTGTTAAAGAGGCCAAAAGCAGGACCAGACAGAACCCTGCAGCAGGGTTCTCTGTTAGAGAATCCAGCCAGGAGGCTCCAGGCCCAAGTGTATCACCAGCGGGTTGGAGGCTGTGACAGAGAGTTCTGAAGTAGTAAAATCCAACCAGCCTAATTGTAAAGGTTAGCGAGATGTTTTTAGCATTTTTTTATTGTGTCTGTTTATGCATTTCACAATGAAGTTCCAGAGAGAGATGAGGCTGATCCAGATTCAGAGTCAGACTCTGGGGAGGAAGACAGTGAAGCAGCACAACCTCTTTCTCAATGTGTTTTTGGTGATATTCTGGGCTCTGAGTTGACATTTCCATGTTCACTGTTCCATAGTGCCGTCGAACGTCTTGTTTGGTCCTGGCAAATGTTTGTGAAATAAACCATTGAAATTTGAGTGTCAGTGAGCAAATATGTGTTTCCTTTTGTTCATCATTTGTATCTGGACCCCTCTGATAAAGGCTTGCTCACCCTTTGGCCACCCCTTGAAAAAAAGTCTCGCTCCGCCACAGGTTTTTGGAAGTGTGGATTTAGTTGGAGGCCCATGTTTGTATTTGCTGACCTTTTCTTTGGTTGTAAGGTGATGAATGTGTGTAGTTGATGAATGCGAAATTGTTGTAAGCCATTTTCATGTAAGGTGGGATTTGAGAATGTGCAATGATGATGATGTGGAAATGATTTCATGTTTGTGTGTTTCAGGATATCTCTGGAGTTGGCAGCAGCATGGCAGTGGCAGTGTGGGAAGCAATGTGGAAGAGAAGAGAAGAGCTCTACATGAAGTTGTTGATGTAGTGATTTGTTTGCTGATGTTTGTGCTCGATCCTTCCTCTGGGAAGAAGAGGTGAAGGTCGTGGTCTTGCGTTTCAGTTTTCATGTAGCAATGGTTTTTGGAGTCCAAGTTTGAACGGCCTCCTAAAGAAGCAGCGTGTTAGCAGCAGCAGCAGCATTTAGAAGAAAGAAGCGACGGAATGGATGTGCAAGTATAGAAAGCAATTGAGAATGTCTAAGTAAGTATGATTGATAGAAATGACGTGATGAGGACAGATGCAGTGTTGTGTTGGACTTATTTTCTCTGAACAGTTGATTGTTTTCAGGGAAGAGACAAATGCTCCTCTTTTGTGTCATATTTATGGGAGGGTGGCCTCCATTCTTTGTTGATGTAATGTTTGAAAGTGTTTTTTGCAAAGTGTTTTGTAGTTATATGCAGAGTGTAAGCACATGTTACTTGCCTTCTCAGTAATGTAATGAATGTGTTTAGTTGATTGATGCTCATGTGATGTAATGCATTTCCATGGAATGTTTGACAATCTCCCTTCTGTTGATGTAACAGAAGTACTTTTGTTAGTGTGTCAAGCATCTTGATGTGTTTGTGGTTTTGGAGTTGTATCTATTGATATTGCCAAGCCATGTTTGCATGTCATGAACTTGTGCAAGATGTGGTGAAAGTACTTTAGTGTTTCAGGATTTGTATGGAGTTGGCAGCAGATTGAGCAGCATGGTTGATGCATTTGCTATGGCAGTATTGTGGAAGAGAAGAGGATGCCAAGTCTTTAGTCTTTAGTCTTAGTCTTTAGTCTTTAGTCTTTAGTCTTTAGTCTTTAGTCTTTAGTCTTTAGTCTTTAGTCTTTAGTCTTTAGTCTTTAGTCTTTAGTCTTTAGTCTTTAGTCTTTAGTCTTTAGTCTTTAGTTTAGTCTTTAGTCTTTAGTCTTTAGTCTTTAGTCAACCGGTTTTGAAGTGCAGAGGAGGAGGCTAGGAAGAGAGTAGTATATACTAAGTGTTTGGGAGCAAGTGGAGGTGTTGTAGGAGAGAAGGGTGCTTTGTCTGTTGTTGGAAAGTAGTGATTGTTGAAGAAGAGTTGAGAGTGAGGTTAGTATTTGTCTTGGACTTTACAAGTGTTGGGTTCTTGATGTGAAGATAACCAACACTTGTAAAGTCCAAGACAAATACTAACCTCACTCTCAACTCTTCTTCAACAATCACTACTTTCCAACAACAGACAAAGCACCCTTCTCTCCTACAACACCTCCACTTGCTCCCAAACACTTAGTATATACTACTCTCTTCCTAGCCTCCTCCTCTGCACTTCAAAACCGGTTGACTAAAGACTAAACAACCCACAAATCAAAGAACCACACCACTAAAAAAAGTTTTACCATCTTTATTTCAAACAATAAAAACACTTGTCAAACAAACCTTACCTTCTCTTGTCTCTTTACATTGCCTGAAAAAAAAAAGAGAAACAAACACTGCTTACCTGCACTGGCTCTCCATGACAGAAGCCACCATCAAATACTGCATTCTGCAAGACAATTAACACCAGTTTCACTTACCTTACACTTGACAAGCGTTTCCTTAGCACCTTAGTACCTGTCAAACAAAGAGTGGTAGCCTTTTCTGTCACACACCAGCCTTACGGCCGGTGTGTGACAGAAAAGGCTGCAACTACTTGCAATCAACAGCAAAGCCGCGGAAGCAGCTGCACACGCCCAACAACGGCGTCTAAAACAAGCTATACTGCTAAACAGAAAATCAAACACTACTTTCACTTACCTTGGAGTTCCAAACCATTTCCAACACAGATTGCACCAAATGCTTCCTTAGCACTGCAGAAATTCACTGCAAAGTACCTGTCAAACAAAGACTTGCTGCCTTTTCTGTCACACACCGGCCGGTGTGTGACAGAAAAGGCAGCAATTAGTTGCAATCAACAGCGAAGCCGCGGAAGCAGCTGCACACGCCCAACAACGGCGTCTCAAACTAGCAACTCGTCTTCTTTTTCCTCTCCAATCTCAACGCCACCATTCACCTTCCTTCGAGGAGCCACTGCAACGAAAAAGCACACAAAACATGTTGCCGCAAACAAAGAGAACCTAGTACAAGCAAAAACACACCTTGAGCAACTGAGCCTTCATTCCTTCCTTCCTTCCATCTTCACAAAAAGCAGCAACAGAAACAAGCTGGAAAGCTTGAAGCAACAGCACGCCAAACTCCATCGAACCTGCCAAAAACACACAAACTACAAGTTGATTGAATGCTAAAAGTCCAACACAAACTGAGAAAACGGCACCTTCGCCTGCTTACCTGCTGCCACACAGAGAGACAGACACAGAGCTGTGCTGCTCCTCCTCCTGCCTCCGACCGCCGACTGCGGTCCGTCGTCTCAGTGCTCACAGCTTCCCTCCGCCCCTTTATCGCCCTGCAAACAGCTGAATTCAATTAACGTTAATTAGACACACAGAACCACGCGCCCTACGTCACTACGTAACAACGTCAAGTTCATGAGCGCAGCTTCCGCTTCATTGCAGCGAAGCCCGCACGTTCATATCTTGGAACAGCCTTTCATCATTTGATTTTCAGAATATATTACACTTCCACAAAAACTCAATACTTTCTCTTGCAAATAGCTTTATTGAAAATACACAAACACTTGATGCTTTCAACATTACATTAAATACCTGTGCTGCTCCACCCCTACAATCACAAGAACTCCCTGCTACAGCCACTTCCACAACCTGGCAAAAAAGACAACTAAAAATAAACATTACGCTTTGAAACGACGTCATTCCACACATCGACAGAGAACAAAGTACCACTTCTCTGATTAAGCACACTGCATCTGGAGTTTCGTCCTGAAGACAAAAACAAACCAAAGGATGGATTGAAATATTGTTTGGAGGCGACAGTGGATGCCTCAACAAATGCAAACACTTTGGTGACGTGTCCCCCTTCACTGATACATAAAAGGAAACTTAGACATTAACAAACAACACTACAAAGCCACAAATCCTTCCTGACCTTTACAGAGTTCAACTCTCTCGTGAAACACATCAAAAAAATGTACACAGCATAACCTTAACACATATGAAAGCTACCATGGAAAATTCCACGACACTCTATGTTGACATTGATTTACATACAGATCCAAACTCCCTCAACTTGCATTTTTACATACAAACTTTGACTTATTCTTTCTATTTTGTGCAACTTCATTTGATTTCTGGGGAAAATGCATTGAATTCTCTGCCTGACGCTGCATGAACGAGCAAAGTCAAAAGCTCCTGTTCAATTCTGAACTGTAAAGAGAACTACAGTCAAGCTTCTTAGCAGGTGCATTTTCAGTCTCGCTAATTCAACTACAAAAAAAGTTTGCAGTTTCTAAAGAAACTGGCACCAAAATCGAATGCAAATAGCAAATAAGATAGTGGTATAATCAATTTCTACAATTATTTTTTCCGCTGCTTAGGGATTGCTTTCACCGTGTGATGTCAGTCATTCCTAAGCTGGATCTACAGAGTGTGCTTCATACATGCCGATATTACAGGAGATCTGCTAAAACAATGGCATTTAGAACCCCTGAAATTACACACAAACACAGATCTGAATCCATAGCTGTCCGTTTAGACGCAGAAAAGGCGTTGGACTCGGTCAATTGGGAATATCTTGACTTGCTCTTAGCAAGATTTGCCTTTCAGAATCCTAGGACACATTGGTTCCAATCTCTGCATGACTCACCCTCTGCCAGGATTATTGGGAAGGGGGTGTCGGCTCAGCCCCGCGCTGCTTGCGCTTCTTATTGAGCCTCTGGAAATATTATGGGTGTGACCGTTAAAGGCACAGTGCACAACATATGCCTCTATACGCTGATCATGTGCTTCCAACTTTAACTGACCCAGAAACCAGCCTACTTCTTCTTTCCTTACTCGAGACGTTCGGCACATATTCTGGGTAAAAGTTCCATTTAAAACAAAACACAATTTCTTTCATTTAAACATCACCAGGAATTCACAAAGTGTCCCTGGCACAATCAAGCCATCAAATATCTGGGAATTAAAATCCCACTACAGTTAGTGAACCTTTTGGAATGGAATTACATGCCAACAACATCACAAATTAAGGCGTTGGTCTTTGTTGCCCGATCCCATAAATAGAATAAACATGAACCTTTTCCCGAGGATTCTTCATCTTTTTCAAACTCTACCCATAAAGGTACCTGACAATGGGACACAATCATCTGAAACTTGATCTGGACTAAACAACAATCCAGAGTACAATTCCAAACGTTACAACGATCCACTAAAAGGCTTGGATGGGCTTCACCACATAGAGGAGCGCAGATAAAACTGTTAGTTGGTCGGTGTGACCCAACATGTGAAGCTAAACGGAGAAAAATAGAGCTATCCTACAGTGATATGTCTCAGAGATTATTTCCTTATTCAAATACATGTAGATTCCCACCTCATCCCATTAGGGCTACAAGTAACGTTGGACACATGCTACAACATTTTAAAACAAGTAAAGACTGAAAAAAGTGCTGCTTATGAGAGAGATTTACACTGTGGTCACAAAAAGGCTTTTTAACAAATATGTACAAACATTTTTGGACTAAAGAAACGTTACATACTGCAGCTTACAAGCAATGGAAAAGCTTTAAGCTACTTCGACATCACTATAACCGGGAAAAATGTGACTTCTTTCACATCTTCAGCTAAGACGTCGTTACAAGAAAAATAGACAACTCTTGAAGAAGGACAAGACAGGTATACTTCAAATACTATTAGAATCAACCAATGGAAAACCTCCCAAAACAATTACATCTAGAACATTTATGCATGATTTGGGAGAAAGAAGCCAAAATATCAACAACCGATGATGCTTGATCAAATATCTGTGATTCGCACGTCCGGTTCCCACCTGTGGAAAAATTTTTCCAGGAAATGTATGTTGTATTGTAAGGATGCTGAAAAGGCAAAGTGCTGGAGGACATGTCTGCAAGACATTTGCATTTTTTTGGTGAATATATTAAGATCACACCCTATAGGTACAAAGTGAGAAGAAAAATCAATATGAAAATGGACTTCCATTTAGGCTGTGATTTTGCAAAAACTTTTCTGGGTCTGTTCATACTATTAGCACCTGGAACTCGCATCATGTTTGGAATGGAACAACATCAATGAGGAAATTCATGAGACTGGAGGAAATGGTCCATTCTGGAGGAAATGGTCCATTCATCAGAGCTTCACACCAACTGGAGAAGTGATAGAATTGGCTTTTCTTGTTGGTTTTTTGGTACTCATTCGATATCAAACTAGTTACTCTGTAAATGTTTGTTAGAGGGGGATCCAACTGTTCTTGGAAAAACTACTAAAAGAAGAACAACACAGCTTTACAACAAATAATCAAATGCAAATATTGACCTCTAAAACCTGAAGAGTTCACTACTTTCAAAATACCAGACTTAAAATCAAAAACTTAAAAAAAAAATACTTCATTTAGCTCATTATTTGTCGTCATTTGTCTTGGATTCTTGAGCCTCCATACGCGCAGGGAAAAACAGCACTCGTACGACACAGACTTCAAATCTCTCAAGTTTGATCCTGAGAAAAGCAATGTCAACAACACAAATATTTGCTCCACTTCAAAGACAGAAAGCAAGCAAAGAAAATCCATTTTCCATCAATTGCCAAATTCAAATACTCTGTTGGAAGCAAAACTTTTTACACCTCAGAGACCTATTGACACACCCGACTCTTCTTGGACTGTGATTTTGAGCGTCGTCTCGGCCTCGGTGACTGAACTAAAACGTGTTTGTGTTTCGCTGGAAATAAATCTAATGCTACATTCAAACTCATTCTAAACATGCTTTCATAAATACTTTCAATTCGAGTTTATTAAGAAAAACTTTCGAGATCCTAGTGAACTTTTGAACCACACTAGGAATTTGTTGATTG